GGGAGTCCCGTGCGTGAGGTGAGGTGGCCCCTGCCTGTGGCAGGGGTTGGAGCTGGAGGAGCTTTAAGGTCCCTTCCAACCCAAACCAGGCTGGGATTCCATGAAATCACCCTGAAGACACTCAACACTGGTGCTTTGATCCATCTCCTCAGGGATGAGCACTCAACCCAACGACCCCATGTGCAGACGAATGGAGAATTCCCATTCTAACTCCCCATTTCCACCTTTTCAAGCTCTCAGCAACCCCACCACCAGCGAAACAAGTGCCCCCTCGTTCGCAGCCCATCCTCTGCACTGGCTGCTGCAGTGTGGCTGGACGGGATGCAGGAAGGTGGAATTCCTCCTTTCAGTGTCTCGGAGCCTGCTCAGAGGAGCCTGGGCTGTGCTGGGATCTGGGCTGCGTCCTCCTCAGAGCCTCCCTGTGGGGGAAAGGACAAACACAACAGGAAGGATCACAAGGGAGCTCTTCACGAGCAGCTTAAGCTCTATTTTAAGAGGCACAAATGACCTGGCTCCTGGCCTGAGCCGCTCAAGAGGAACGGGGCCACTGACACGGGCACAGGGAAGCAGACTAGAACCGTTTCAAATCCGCTCTGGGCTGGAAGCTGTCTCAGCTCCATCCGGCCCCAGGGGTTGTTGGTCACACAGGGGGAGACCGAGCACACACAGAGCCCTGGTTTTGTTCAAATGACATCGTTTTGTGCACAAAGAGGAACCAACCTGCACCGTTGGTGCCAGATTTCAAAGGGACCCACACTCAGAACACACACATGATAGAATAAAGAGGTGAAAACTTGCTGCTTTTTGGTTTTAAACCCATTTATTGACTTCAACACACAGGAAACCAGAAGAAAAACTACAAAGAAATATAAAACTTCGGATCCTTCAAAGCAAAGTGCAGCAGAAAACAAACTCTTTGCTCATTCAAACCCGCAGCCGGCTTTGAAGGAGCAAGACTGGGCCAAAACAGAGATACCGAGAGGTACCATCCACCCATTCAGCCAGGAACCCCTGGGAACGGGGGGTGGGAGATCCAAGGAGGAGCCCCCCTGCTTTAGCCTGGCCCGAGCTGTGCCTCTTCCCAGCACTGAGCAAACCAAGGTCCTCGTCCAGCTGATGCACGAGCTCCTCATGCTTGGTCCAACCTGGGGCTTGAGGTGCTGGGGTCTGATGGTTCCGCTCTCCCAAGGGCTCGCTGCTCCCTTTGCTGACAGCAGCGGGATTCCCAACACTACCTGGGCTGGAGAAAGGCCTGGGAAAGCTCATGGGCTGGAAAAGCCAACAGATGGCAAGAAAGAAACCCCTTTGTCAATTCGCTTTCAATTCAACCCAAAAAGGCAAAGCAGGAAAATGGCACAAGCTAAAAACGCTGCGGGAGCAGCTCGGCAGCACGTGGCATTCCAGAGGTGGAGTGTGGGGCTCTTCCTCGCTGTCAGCGCACAGAAGCCATCACCTCCCACTTCACATCCTGTCCATAAACCAGCCACACACACCATTAGAGCCTCAGGCTTATCCTATGGGATCTCTGAACAGTGGTGTCTTGCTGCAAGAGCTCCCAAGCCCTTCCAGAAAGGTACATTCCCCCCAGGGGGGCCATTCCCAACCTTGTTTTCCTTTCCCTTCCCTCCACCTCACACTCCCAGTCTCCAAAATAGCTTCTGCAAACACGAGCTGGGCAGGCACTTCATGGCCTCTGTGGAAACATCCCGTCTCCCACAAACATCTTTGGAGTAGAACTACAATAAGAAGCAAACACCTCAGAGCTGTAACTCCTCAATCAACACGTTTGGCAGCTTTAAACCACCCCAGAATGCCCCAACCCTGGTTTGAGTGCACCAAAGGGACCAGCAGCTGGTGATGTAACATTCAAGCACCCAAAACCAGGGCCAGCAGAGCCGAGGAGCAGGAAGAGGTTGTGCTGGTGACACAATGAGCCCTTCACGTGTTGGTCACAGCTCGAGGAGCTGGTGGTGACACAGGAGATGTTGCCTGTGCTGTGGTTTCCCAAGGCAAGAGGCTCTGCCAAGGCTTGTGCAACCCGAGGGCCGAGCTGCCACCCCACAGCTCAGCCAGGGGGAAAGGGCACTAGAGCAGGAGTCAGCACCGAGCGCCCGGTGGCAGCGAGCTCCATGGCTGGGGAGGCGCCTTCAGCTTCCTTCCGGGGCCTCAATGCTGCACTTGCCAGCAAGAGGTTTGAAGGGTGCAAGCTCTGTTCATCAGTGCTTCAGGGTTACCACACACTTTACACCACTGCGGAATGACATTTACCAGGGGGAGGGAAGGCACCTTCCAGGCGAGGTCAGCTACAACCACACGGTGCCAAGGTGGCATGAAGCTTCCTCAGCCACCCTCCTGCATAGCACTGGACAGCGGCTGCCAGCCAGGGCAAACAGCCCCAGGGGGGGAGGGGGAAGAGAAAAGCAGGGAGACG